CAGTTGACCATAGCTAATGGGTTTATTTCTGGACTCTAAATTCTGTCCCATTTATCTATATGAGGACAATTCAAAAAGTTTGTGGAAAAATGGAATTAAAAGATAATGCAAACCTTTAAAAAAAATTTTTTTTTTATGTGGCTGGCTGGTATGGGGATCTGCACCCATGACCTTGGTGTTACAAGGCAGCTCAAACCTTTCCATGAACTTTTTGAAGACCTCTTGCATATTCCAGTACCACACTGTCTTTGTTACTCTTCCTTTGTAGTAAGTTTTGAAGTTGGGAAGTGTAAGTCCTCCAGCTTTGTTCTTCTCTTTCAAGGTTGTGTTAGTAATTCTGTGATTCCTTGAATTTCCATATGAATTTCAGGATTAGCTTGTCAAATGTCTGCAAAAAAGTTAGCTGGGTTTTTGATAAGGATTGCTTTGACTCTTTAGATCAATTTGGGGAGAATTATTGTCTTAATATTATTAAGTCTTTTGATCCGTGAACATATAATATCCATTTCCAGACTCTTAAACATCCAGCTTTGGCATTTCAGTTCTTCTACATATGGATGTTTATATTAGATGTGCTGCATGTTGCAAGTTAGCATTAATGGAATTGAAGTCTTCATGCCTGGATTGTCAGGCACAGGGCAGAGGTTTAACTGTTGCTCTTAATTTAAAGATTAATTGGATTGGCATAAAACAGATATGTGGGAAGTATGCAAAGAAAATAGTATGAGCAATACCTGCTTTATGGTTTTCGTATGAACCTTCACATAGTCTGTTTTGTGGTTTGTTTATAAACTTATTTTTATCCTAAATATGTCTGCATAGAAGGATTGTTCAGGCAAAATTACAAGTCTGTTGACTGGAAGTGGGGGCACATGTCAGAAGAGTAGCTTTAATGGCTTTAAGGAGGGAGGTCCTTCAAAACTCTGCAAAAAATTTAAAACCTTCTTGCATTTCTGTTTCTCTGGCATAAATAGTCCTTTCTAGGCCTTGTCATGGGCATGTACCAATGATGTAATAATGATGATTATATCAGAAGCACCACAGGCAGTTATTGGCATGATATGTGGCAAAGTTCTGGTCATGGTTAGTTTGACTAAGTATTTCAAGAGGCTGAGTTTGTCATCTGTGACAGGGGACTTGAATGCATTAGTGATGAGAAAACTGCTCACCACAGACTGTTGTGATCTCTCAGAGTTTGTAAGGCAACTCAGCAGTAAGTCCCTCTTGTCTTGTATAATGTTCTTGAATGCAAACATCTAGACCATTTGTTGGACACAGTGCTCCATCGTGTGCCATCCTCATCAAAGGCTTGGAGTAGAATAAGTGATGTATAATATCTAGACAATAACATCACCTACTCAATTTTCCTGTTTTTTTTGGTTATCACCTGTCATCCACCTGTTACAAAACTAGATTTTTGAAAACAGAATATTCTTTTAGCTTATTTTTTCATACATGTGAATTCCTTCCAGTTTCTTGTTCTTTCCTGTTCCTTGTTGATTCGAGAGTTGTGTGAATGCATCCATTTCATGAGTCCTGGTGCTCCTCTGCTTGGTTAGTGACACTGTCAGAGGTGGGATCAGCCTCACTAACCTTTGGTCCAGAGCAGAGTTTTGGGAAAGGTGGAATAAGTGGCTTTTTGTCAGATGTGACCTTAGGGTTGTCAGGCCTCAGTTTACCCTCCTTGTCACCCCCAATATATGTTTCATAGATGAAAATCCCCAGTTTATTCTTTTGGCTTAAGGCTTGCATCCTCTGTTAAATTCAAACTGCATGACACATTACTATGTTAAACTTGTGTATAATATGTGTTTAATTGGTTTTGTATACAAAGTTTGATATATCTTAGTGGGGGCAGTAGGGGGAGAGAGAACATACAATTCAATCACTAAGCACTTTGGGGGAATATAGGAGAAAATAAGGAAAAGGGTGAGGTGCCTGGAATCCTAAAAGACAGCTTATGCTACACTATTATTTTGCTTGAGGGCAGCCTTTTTATGGTTCCTTGCATTCTGGAATGCTTCCTTGGACTTCTGGTTGGGTTCAAAACAATAGAAAACCCAAGTTGGAGACCTGAGGGAGGACAGTTTCTTCCCCTGCATCCCTGGGGAAAACCTTTTAGAGTAGTGTTTGGCAAACAACAGGCCTGCGGGCCAAATCTAGCCTGCCACCTGTTTTTATAAATAAAGTTTTAGTAGAACATAACTATTCTCATTCATTTACATACTGTCTATGGCTGCTTTTGTGCTATAATGGCAGAGTTGAGTAGCTGGAACAGATTTGTCCCACAGCTCCTACAATATTTATCTTGTCCTTTACAGGAAAAGTTTGCCAAAAGTTGGCCTACAGAGTCTAGACTTTTGGAAAGTTAAGACTTTTGGATCATAGATACCAATTTAACTTAGACTTCTTAACCTCTGATTTTACCATTAGGTGGACTCAAGGGCAGCATTTTTAAGGAAAGATTGCTGCTTATATCAAGATGAATGCTTGATCATGAAAAACAAGTGTAACTTCAAAAATATTTGTATAATAAATGGTGACACTGCTATGTTATAAACTTAAGTAGCCAGTGGAAAATTAATCTATGATTATACACGTACCTGATCTACCAGCCTCTTACACGTGCTCCCATCTTATCTCAAAAGAGAAAAAAATGTTACAATTCTTCCTCTAGACATTCATTTTCTATCATTTTTGAAGACCAAGCATTTGTGTCATTGTAACTTATTTATATATAAATAGGAATATAAATATAAAATGCTAATCTCACTCTTGGAAATCCGAAAAATGTTTTAGCTCAGTTGTTTTTCTTCACTTTTTTTTTGGCAAGAAATTCCACTTTAATGCAATATTCATAAAGCAACAATGCAAACTAGGCAACAGACTGTGAAGAGGGTAGAGGAACTCCCTGTAGAATATTTCTTTCTTTCTTTTTTTTTTTTTTGGGAGCTGGCCAGTACAGTGATTTGAACCCTTGAACTTGGTGTTGTCTCTACCCATCTGAGCTAACTGGCCAGCCTCTAGAACATTTCTTAAAGTTTTTGGTTCAGGTACTCTTTATAGGTATTGAAGACCCAGTGAGCTCTTCTTTTTTTGAATAATACCTATTAATATTTCACCTATGTAAATTTAAGCTGAAAAAAAAATTTTTTTTTTCCCTTTTTGTCTTTTTTTACTGACCGGTAACGGGATCACAACCCTCAGTGTCGCGCCCGTACTGCGCTCAGCCAGTGAGCGGGAACCCGTCTCCACATGGGATCCGAACCCTCGGCGGGAGCGCCGCTGCGCTCCCAAGCGGCGCACTCTCCATTGTGCCACCGGGCCGGCCCTAAGCTGAAAAAAAAAAATTTTTTTTTTTAAAGATGACCGGTAAGGGGATCTTAACCCTTGACTTGGTGTTGTCAGCACCACGCTCTCCCAAGTGAGTGAACCGGCCATCCCTATATGGGATCCGAACCCATGGCCTTGGTGTTATCAGCACCGCACTCTCCCGAGTGAGCCACGGGCCGGCCCTGAAAAAATTTTAATACATAAGTTTGTACAAGCACATTCTATGACCTGTTAGAGTGATGACATCACACATCACTTGACATCTGACAAAGACCACCAGACACTTGAGAATGAGAGAAAAAAGACAACATCTCAATACTATAATAAAAATAGCTTGATCCTGTGGACTCTCAGAAAGTGTCTCGTGAGTCTCCAGACAATACTTTGAGAAACACAGCAATTAGAAAATGGAAGTAATTTGGACATTTAAATGAGTGCTGAACTTAGCCTTGTAAATTGGCATGTTTATTATTGATACCAAAAGAATTAAAAGCTTGTAAAGGGTAATGATTTTAAAAAGAAACTAAAAACATTAGCATTGATCTTCTGCCTAGCCTAGACATCATTAATTTTGTTCATAATAAAGTCAGGGATTAGTTGTTTTAGTATTAGTAAATAATAAATAATAAATCATCAAAATAGATGATTTTCCTACATTTGCCACTGTATCATCTGTTTTTCCCAAGGACAAGTTTTAAAGTGATATCATTTTGATTTTGCAAACATTTAATAAAGCCAAAAATTAAAAACCCTGTCATGGCTTAGGAGATAGCCTGCCTATCTGTGTGCCCAGCACATATGACCCATGCAGATGCAGAGACACATGCAGCTTCTTCCTTCTGGCCCTGACTCCACGCTCACAGTCCATGTGTAGCAAACAACACTGTCCAGGGGCCTGGTTAGCTGTCTAGGGGTGTATTAGTCTGTTTCTGTTGCTTATAACAAAATACATGGAACTGGTTAATGTATAAGAAAAAGAAATTTATTGCTTACAGTTTCTGAGGCTGGGAAGTCCAAAGTCTAGGGAACACACCTGGTGAGGTCTTGGTGGTGGCTTTACAGGAATGCAGGGGTCTCACATGGCAGAATATGGTGGAGCAGAGACTAACCTGTCATGTGCTCTCCTTTTAAAGCCCTCAGAACCACGCCCCTGACCACCATTATTAATCCATTTACTATGACTGGGACCCAGAATCTAATCACTTCTTCAAGACTCCACCCTTTAACCACCAGAATAGGATTTCCCACCCTCAGCAGTTAACAGTGGGGATTAAGCCTCAGTGAGGTTGGCGGGCATCTCATCTATAGCAAGGGGCTGGGTTAGTACCCTCAGGCAGTCAGTATAGGGTAAGGCTAACTTGCTTCTCATGGAATCCACAGAAAGCTAAGCAAGTGACCCCCTCAACACTCTTCAGGGGGATAAGAAATTAGGGGGTTTTTTTGTTTGTATGTTTTCTTGTTTAGTTTTTATAGGCTCCATCATCCACCAGCTTCATGGTTAATTGTAACAGGCTGAGATATAATAGCCTTTAGGTACTCATATTAATGGCTACTAGTTCTAATTTGTTATTTATATAGACTTGATATTCTTTGTTTTGTGGACCCTAATCTTCAGGAAGGGTTTCAAAGTGAAACTTTATTTTTCTCTTCTCTTCACTTTCTCTCAGCTTGAAGTCCATGGCCCAAAATGACCCTACCAGTGGAGACTCTCTTCTGTAAAGAAGACAACCAGACAGGAGGCTGGGATGAGCATGCCACTGCATCAAGTCTCTGCCATTCCATCCCAGGATGCCATTGCTGCTAGAGTCCACAGAAGTAAGACCAAAGAAAAGGAGAGGGAAGAACAGGTAACGAGACAATACCTTTTTGGGTTTGATTAGTTTTATTGAATTTTCATTAAACATGATCTAGAACTATACTTAAGCTCTAAGATCCGGGTTTTCTCTGGTAATATATTAGTAAGCACATAAATAGTTGTGCTCAGAAGAAATCATCTTTTGGTAGGTTTCTCGGTATTTAGATTTTGGTGTAAACTTAGTCTGCTTGTAAACAGTTATAAATGACTTATTTATCTTCATTGGTTAGGTCTGCCTGATTGTCTTTGGTAAATCATGGAGGCAAAGTTCTTTGGATTCTCAGAACATGATGCAAAGGATAAATTTATTCAAACAAAAATTTATAAGTGCTCTGCTTGGTGCGAGGGGTAACATAGTTAACATCGCAGAGCCTTTCTCTGCTGTTGTACAGCTTGTGATCTAGCTTGACAGTTAAATATGCATTAGAGTCTAATGAGGTCAGTGATGGAGGAAGTTCAGGACCACCCAGTCCCAGCCCAAGGGGTCAGGAGAGACTTCCCCAGAGAAAATGACATTTACATGGAGAACTGAAATAGTGACCTGCAGTTAGTTAGGAGAAAGGGGGAAGGTAGAGTGTCCCAGGTGGGGGAAATACTATATGCTGAAGGTCCAAAGGTTAGAGCAAGGTGAGTCTGAAGAGATTAAAATAAAATAACTGGAACATGAGGGTCAAATTGTGTAATGACAAGATATGAGTTTGGAAAAGTTAGCAGGAAGTTACCTTAAGGAGTTGGATTTATCTTTGCACAAAAATGAATGAACAGATTTTTGTCCTTAAAACTTTCACTCAGGCTGCAGTTTGGAGAGTGAATTGAATGAGTGGTAGGGAGACTGGTCAGAGGATTGTTTAATAGCTTACTTAGCCTAGGTTTGGAAAAAATTTTTTATTTATTTATTTACAAAATAGATCGAGCTTCTGAAGCCCTCCCCCTCTTCGTCCTGGATGCTTGCCTGATCTTCTGTGGCCTACTGTGTCTGAGATCATCTTCCTCCCTTCTTCTCTTTTGCTCATGAGGTGCCCAGGGCCCACTGCCTGGCCCATGGCCCGCTGCTCACTGCCACGGAGCCCAGGGCTCTTCCTCGCAAGCCTCGGTGCTGCTCCCGCGCCTCGCTCAACCAGTGAGCGGGAGCCGGTCTGTATGTGGGATCCGAACCCTCGGACGGGAGCGCCGCCGCGCTTCCCAAGCGGCGCACTATCCAGTGCGCCACCGGGCCGGCCCGGAAAAATTTTTTTATAAAAGGCCAGATAATAAATATTTTAGATTTTACAGGCCACACAGTCACAGCTGCTCAACCTTTCCATTGTAGTGTGAAGTTGCCCAAAGACTATGTATGGACATGACTGTGTTCCAGTAAAATTTTGTTTATAAAAATAGATAGTAGGCTGGATTTGGCTCACAGGCTTATCCCTGCAGATCCTTGGCCTAGGGCAAAGGTGATGGTGACTTGCTGAAGTCCAGCTTCAGTGAGGGGTGGGTACCTGAAAAGGGATGGAGAGGGTCGACGAAAATAACAAACACAGGCGGAGACCTCAATGCATCACTATGCACATTCTCTCTCTGCGGGCTGGCAGTGCTTTGGAGCTGGAGCCCAGTAGAGCATGAGACAATGCCTTTTATTTAAATTTACAGCTCTGTAGGGGGGCTTTGGGTACTATTTTTATTACATCAGCAAGCTTGAGTCAATAATTCAAAAAGGACGTTGGGGTGGGGGGAGCCAGGTTTTTCCTTTTGTCAGCACGTCTCAGGTGTTTGTGCTTCCTCCTTTTGGTATCAGGTTATCAGATCGGGACCATCTTCTCATTGTCCTGAAGTTAACCTGTGACCTTTTCCTGTTGGCAAGCTGTGGTTAATATCTACCCTGTTAACAGGGTGGAAGCTATTGCGGTTACAAAGTGATAGACAGTACTATCATATGACCTATGACTATTGTTAAATGTAAGTACAAATTTGCTAAAAGGAACAATGCTAACATTTAAATTCTAATGGGGGTCTAATGATTATGTTCTAATGGAATGAAAAGGAACAATGGATATTTGAGCAGCATTATCATGCACATTTTGAGGTTATGCATTGGCTGTGGCCCTGTAATCTTGATCTAAATGTTAAAGTGTCCTTGTGCACAGCACCATCCCTCACAAAACTAGGTGCACTCTCTTATTCTTCTAAGATCTAATTTTGCAGGTTTAATAATTTTACAGCATATATTTTTATCCCAATACCTGATTTTTAATGATTTATTAAAACTGGACACCACCAAGTAAAGGGGGTTCTATGGTTTCATTCCCATATACTTAATTTATCCCAATCATATAATTTCTCATTAATGCCAACCATTTTCTTGCCATTAATACAATCTCCAGTAAATTATGTTTGCCAACTTAGATCATACTTTGGACGTCCCCTGGGAGGGTACCAAATTTTTCCCTTTCTCATTTTATATCCCATGTAACCATTTACCCAGATGGTGGGAAGAGGATGGGGACTTATTTTATTTATTAATTTCTCTGGTAAAGGCAATTGCTCATGATTAATCGTGACCGATGTTTTTGAAACATCTGTTGGCATAATTAATTGACTCAAAAGGGACAATTTGGAATTGTTCAATCTTCCTGGATCTTTGGTGGGACTATCTAATTTTATGACAATAACTGTTTGTGTGTCATTTTCTGCATCTTTTGGAAACTCAGGAAACTGCCACGCTGACCAAAAAAACATCAAAAGAGAAAGTAAAAGCAGTACCACTGTGCCGAGGCAGAGATCCTTACAGCGAAAGCAAGTGCTCGTAGCCATGGCCCTGCAAGCAGCTCTCCCTCCAGCGGCCTTACCAACTCGGAGAGGGCAGCTCAAGCTATTCTTTTCAGGACTCCGCCATGGCGTGGACAGTGCCAGTGACTCCATCTAGGATAGGAATAATGGGGATAGGGATATTTAGTTTATTAATCCATTGGGCTTGATGATTGCAGGTTGGGAGAGACAGGGAGGAATCAAGGATGACTCTCTGCTTTCTTCTTGGCTTTACAATGTGCTTTATAAACATTTGCTTATACGTTCTTGTAGCATTCCTATTTTATAGTTAATCTGTGCCCAAGACTGTAGAGAATCCTTTTAAAATCAAGAATTAGTAAGTCTCATTTGAATTTGAGTCATTGTACTGGGACACTGTTCTTTCCATTATTCCACAAAGAACTTTTTAAAACAAATCTATCATATTATAGCTCTTGAAGTATGTGGACTGTAGAAAAAAGTCCCGTTAAATTAAAAGAGGTCTCGATATTATTTGTGGTTTTCTTTTAAAATTTATTTGTGTTGTCACCCTACACCTTTTCTGTTTTGCTGAGCTTTTGGGAAGAGTGTGTCCAGCACTGGTTGAAATGCCAACTCTGGGTAGTCGTGGAGTAGTGATGGTTTGTGGATTTCAGTATTTTAGTTTTTACTCAATTTGTGGAAATGAGAGAATACCTCAAAGTACCTTTTTCCATATTCTTTCTTTCAATGAAAAATTTAAGATTTATTTGAATTGGTAGTCTTTTCTTGTTACCCCAAATGGAGTTTTAAATATAACTAAATAGAATCCTAGTCTAAGGTGGTCACTTACACCAATTTGGGGCTGCCAGTTTAATATTCATTTTAGTGTTGAATTTGGACTGTAGGTGGCCAAAATTTCTTGGTGTGTATTTTAATCTGCTCTGGCTGTTGTAACAAAATACATAGATGGAGTGGTTTAAAAAACAAACATTTATTTCTCACAGTTCTGGAGGCTGGAAGTCTAAGATCAGGGTGCCAGGATGGTTAGATTCTGGTGAGGACCTGCTTTCGGACTTGTAAACAGCCACCTTCTTGCCGTGTCCTCACGTGGGGAGGGGACAGAGAAGAAGCAAGCTCTCTTCATATGCAAGCACTAATCCCATTGTGAGTGCTCCACCCTCAGACCTGTTTACCTCCCGGAGGCCCACTCTCCAAGTACTGTACCATCAAATTGGGGATTAGGGTTACAACATATGAATTTTGGTGGGGGAAGATACAGACATTCAGTTCATAGCAGGGTGTGTATGAGGAAGCTATACAAACTTGTTTGGAATAGAGAAAAGATGATGTCCAATATTTTAGATCAGGAAGGGAGATTCTTTTTTATATAACCCCACTGTAGATTCATTTTTATATAACCCCACTGTAGGTAGGTATTTAATAAGTATAGAATTGATCTATTTGATGAGATTCTAAGGTTTAAATAAGGAGCATTAGCCAGATGTATTTGTAGAGTTGGGATTTTGATTGGTTTGGGGAAGAAAGAGAAGCTATCCTGTCCCACCTCAGTGTGGGGACTAGTTTGAGCACCTGGTAGCAACCTGACAGTTTTGAGATTCATGGCACCGAGTGGAGGTGGCAGGTAGTAGAAGAGCAGCAGGATTTGTTTGAAAGATAAATTTTTCTCTGGTGAGCCACCCTCTCCCCCACCCCCCCCACCCCCACTTTTTAAAGTCTACTTTCCCTGGCACAACTTCAACCCAGTCTTCTGGTACGATTTCTGACCTTCCTTTGCTTGGGAGAGGAAGAGAGGAGAGCACGAGAAGCTTTCTATCTCCACATGAAGATCATGAACTTATCTATCACTCCCCAAAATTTCTTCATGCCCCTTTGTAATCTCTCCGTCCCACCCCTCTCCATCCCCCTTGTCAAGCAATCATTGATCAGCTTTCTTTCACTATAGATTAGTTTGCATTTTCCAGAGATTTATACAGATGGAGTCATACATTATGTCCTCTTTTTTTTGTCTGGCTTCTTTCACACAGCTAAATTCTTTTTAGATTCGTCCAAGTTATCAAATGTAACAATAGTTTGCTCCTTTTCTTGCTAAGCAGTATCCATTGTATGGAAATACCACAATTTATGTTTTCCTGTTGATGGACATTTGGGTTGTTTCTAGCTTTTCACTATTACAAATAAGGCTGTCGTGAACATTCATGTACCTATGGACACATGACTATATTT